TGCAAATTCCATTGACGGAGAACGCGAAAGAGAAGACGGCATTCATCACCCAAGATGAAACGGGGCAGTTCGAGAGAGCAATTTTTGGACTGATGAATGCTCCGTTTTATTTTGCCAAATTAATGAAAATGGTACTCGGACCTCACGGAAATAAATTGGCAATAGCTTACTTTGACGATTTATTAGTTTACGCCCAAACGTGGGAGGAGTTATTAGGAAAAATTGAGCAAATTTTAGTTCTCTTGAAAAACGCAGGTTTAACTTTAAACTTAAAAAAATGTAAATTCGGTCTTGACAAAGTAGATTACTTAGGTTACAGTTTCGGCAAAGATGGGATTAGTCCGGGAGAAAGAAAAGTTCGCGCAGTCGACGAATTTCCGACACCGAGATCGGTACATGAGGCACGAAGCTTCCACGGCCTAGCGAGCTTCTTCCGTCGTTTTATTCCTGGCTTCGCTCAATTAGCCGCCCCGATAGTAGAATTATTCAAGAAAGACGAAAAATTCGAGTGGAATGAATCGAGAGATAATGCATTTCGCGAAATTAAACGTTTAATTTGTACATATCCAACGCTTGGATTTTATAACCCGAAAGCCACCCGGACCGAGTTACACACGGACGCGTCCGCGAACGGATTAGGTGCAATGATGTTCCAAACCGATGATGACAATAGGTTGCGATTGATTTATGCAATTAGCAAAAAGACCTCCGAGACAGAACGAAATTATCATTCAACCAAATTGGAATTGATGGCTATCATTTGGGCAATGGAAAGATTGCGGAACTTTTTGATAGGCCTTCATTTCCATGTAATTACCGACTGTCAAGCATTGTTACATATCGACACGTTAAGAACGAAAAATACGCAAATTGTAAGGTGGCTCAACTCGATTGCCGAGTATGATTTTGAGATCCACCATCGCCCTGGAGAACGTATGAAGCACGTTGATGCTTTGTCGCGTGCTCCGGTGGAAGAGCCGAACGAAATTCTGGAAACCGCGACTGCATATATTACGATGATATCCGAAAACGAAATCTTAATGTATCAACGCAGCGATCAATTGTTAGCGCAAAAAATAAAAATACTCGAAAAAAATGAAAAGTCTCGTTCGCGTCGTGAAATAGGTGAAGTGAAAGATTATGTCTTAAGAGAGGGAATATTGTACAAATTAGATCCAGCCGATAGCACTAAAGAATTGTACGTAGTGCCTAAAGTCATGAGAAAAGCAATTGTTATTAAAAATCATGACTTGACAAGCCATTTCGGAATTGATCGGACAGTGGCTCGTACAAAAAAATTATTATTATTTCCCCGGAATGCGTAATTATGTACGCAGACATATTTCAGCATGGGTAGAGTGCCTTTTCGCAAAACATAAAGCTGGTCGACAGCCTGGTGAATTACACCCGATTCCTGTGGGCAATAGGCCTTTTGAAATCGTTCACCTGGATCACCTTGGTCCTTTTGTTTCATCGTCGAAAGGGAATAAATACATTTTGGCAGCGGTATGTAGATTGACAAAATTCTGTCAATTGTATGCTGTCAGAAATGTCAAAGCAAGTACAATTGTTCACAAGATAGAAAATTTTGTAAATCGTTTCGGAGCGCCAAGTCGTTTCATTGTTGATAGAGGGACATCTTTTACCGCGGATTCATTTAAAGATTTGTGTAAAAATCACGGAGTAAAAATAACGTTCAACTCGAGTAGGCACGCACAAGCCAACGGGCAAGTCGAGAGGTTGAACCAGACTATTTTGCCAGCCTTACAAACAAGTCTGACCGATGTCGAAGGTCGTCATTGGGATGACAATATTGTTAAGATAGAGCGCGATTTAAACAATTCGATTAGTAAGACGACAGGGAAGACTCCCTTTGAATCATTGTATGGTTTTACGCCTCGATATAACGAAGGACTCGCGAGAGAATTAACAGAGCGGGCTGAAACATATCGCGTCCCCGATGAAATTCAACTCGAGATAAAAGATAAAATAGAAAATGAACAGCGAATTGCGAAAGAACGATATGACCGAAATCGATTGAAAAATGTGAAATTCAATGTAGGCGACATTGTTGTTACAAAATCATCGAAAATCGCCACCGGAGAGTCCACGAAATTACAATCGCGAAATGAAGGACCTTTTGTCATTACTGAAGTTTTACCGTCGGATACATACGCTATTCAACACTTAACAAATAAGGGAAGTTCGAGACAAAGATTAACAGCACATGTCAGTCAAATTAAAATTTGGCGCGGAATTCCAGATAATAGCGACGATGAAGATTGTAACGACAGTGACGCCAGCGATAATGCTGAAAATGAAAATGGTATTACATTTGAGTCAGAATCTGTACGAGAAAATGAACGAAAAACCGATGAGATGTTGATTTTTGAATGATTTGAATAGCAATCTACGAAGAAGTATGCGAAATCGTCAGCAACCAGACCGATTGGGTTATTTGTAATGAAGCGCGACGAAATAAAAATAAAATTGGAACTGTAAAAACTTGGAGACCAAGTTCTACAGGATGGCCGATTGTTATAAATTAAATGTTAAATCTAGAAAGTTGTAAATGGAACTAGAAACCCTAAAAACATTTTAGGTTGGCAAAAGTGCGTGAATGAGATGCGTGTGTGTGTGAGCGCAAAATCGGCAGATTGATTCGAACGAGCCGAGCGAGAGGTTCTCCGAGAGAACAGCGTAATTGTGAGTCGAGGACAAGGGTCCGTATTCGAGACGAGCTAAACGAGCGTATCGTGTCGAGAACTGTGTTATTTGTATCCGAGAGTTAAATTCGAGAAACGAGAAGACAAATAGTTGTCGAGCTGTGAATTTTGGTTATATTAAACTTTTGTATTCCATTATTTTCTTTTATTAATAAATCTGTTTTAATCTTATTCTAAGTGTTTTAAAAAGTTTTATAACACATATTTCAATCTATTCGGTTTTAATATTTTATTTTGTTACGGTTATGGTATTTGAATTAAATGAATAACTTATTAATTATTACTTTTTCTCTAAAGGAAAAAGTATGTCAAGCTTTTTATTTAAAAAAAATTAGTCATAGATAACAAAACACAAACAAACAAAAATACAATAAAAAATAAAAAAAAAATTTTATACAATAAAATTAATTTAACTTTATACATGGAATTATTGTCACTTCTTCATTTAATATGATGTCGTCAATGTTATTATCCTTCCTCCTCTTTCTTCCATTTACTTCATCCTCGTTAATGTAAGTTGTGTTTCTATTTAAATTGTCTCTTTTTCTTTTTCTGTCATTAACGAGGATTCCGTTGTTCTTAATTTCTTCGGAATTAGAGGAGGACGAAGATGATGACGTTGAGGCTAATTCATATTTTTTTAAATTATTTTTATTTTTCTCTCTGTAATTAAAAAATTTATATTATTTCATTTAAATAATTTTTTTTTATTAGTTAATTAATTAATTAATTAATTAATTAATTAATTAATTAATTAATTTATTTATTTATTAAATTAAAAATTAATATATCAATTGTTTTACCTTTCATTTTTTAGTTCCTGTTTCAAACTTTTCTTTTTTATTATTAAATTATTTATTTTATCTCTTAAGTCGTTGTTCTCTTCTAAAATCAATTCGTTTATGCTGAAAAATAAAAATTTTAAAAATTTAATTTTGAATATAAATTAATTAATATCTTTATTATTGAAAAAAAAATTAAGGAATAAATTTTACAAACATAACATTTATATTTGTAGTCATTTCTAGAGTTTGTAATTCTATTTAAAGTAGAAAGCAAAGTTTTTTTAAAATGTTTATTAAACGGAGCCGGATCGTCATGAAAATGATAATGCAGATAATTCTTAATTAAAACAATTTCAGTGTATAAAACTGGTGTTATTTGATTTACTAAAATGCACGTTTAACTTTTGAACAATATGTTTAAGAATGAATAAAATTTAAAATTAAAAAAATATAATACAACTAGATAATCATTACCTGTGATGAAAATAGACTACTAGTCAATTTATGTTTCGTTAATCAAGTGTTAATATTATTAATTTTTTCATTGAATTTATGTAATTCTCTTATTCTTATGCAATATGCATAATTTATTTTTCCATTTTTATATTAATAAATTTAAAATACGATTTTAAATTTATTATTTTTGAATTTTAATAATACATAAATTACCTTCCATTTTAAAAGATACTTTATGTTTTAAATTTATTTAAAAAAAAAAATTTTTTTTATTTTAAAATTAAGATATTCATGTGGGAGTTATTTTAAAATTTGATGTTCTCGGACAACATTTGCGCATCAGGCTAATTTCTTAAGGGGTTGTGCGCACGATGCGGCCTACCAGGGCCTCCTAGGGTTGTTGGGGCCCATGCGGTCGAAGGGAAGCGGCACTGTTGTTGAGACCCCTTGCTAAGCGGGTTGTTCTATGATCTATCGATCGGGAGTTTTGTAACAGTTAACAATAAATTGTGAAAAATATAACTAAATTAAAATAACATTAGTTTTTTATTTATTCCTTCTACAGATCAGAAGTGGGATACACACACGTGCTTGTGTATTATTTGCTATCAAATCGGGTAATTCGGTAATAGTGGTTCAAACGGGACGAACAAAAACGGCAACTTTATATAACACGTTAGATTTGTGTGTGACAAGTGTTCCAGTGGAAGTTAAAGTTAGTGACAATGCTTTCCAACAGACGAGACCGATCCCGATCAAGTAGGAGAGACGGACATCGCCGGGATCGTTTGAGATCTCGTTCCCGGGAAAGGGCTACACAGAGTCGTGAAGGCGAGAACAGAATAGCCTACGTGAACGTGTAACGTGCTGACGTCACAATGTTAACTAAATGGGTGATGTCATACGTTTACGTTCACGTAGCTCGCGTACCCATGGATTGTGTTCTCGCCTTGATAGGGCATCACGCACGCAGGAACGGACGTCTCGTTCGCGGGAAAGATCATCGCACATACGTGATCGGTCCCCGCACAGGATGTCGTGGAATAGTAGCCGAGCGAGTGGTGAGTCCGATTTTGCTAGATTGACTGAAGTGCTATCAGGTATTGTGCAGTTAGGTTCGAGAAAGGCAAATAAATATATTAATGAGAAGATATTACCGGAGTTTGATCCGGCAAGTAGAGATTTGTCAGCATCAGAGTGGCTAGATAAAATTAACATGTTTGGGTCAATGTACGATTGGGATGAAGCTCAAAAATTATATATGGGTATATTAAAATTACGGGGTAACGCGAAAGCTTGGTTTGATGGGCTTAAAACGCCGCTTGTATCTTGGGAGGTTTTCGCGATATCAGTAGTAAGACAATTTCCGGGAGAAGAGAATTTTGGTAAGCTTTTTGAATTAGCAGCCTCACATAAGACGAGTTCGGGTCAGGATTTGCAAACGTACTGTTTTGAGAAGGTTAAGAGGATTAATAAATTAAAAGTCGATATTCCGGAAAATAAAGTAGTCGAATTAGTTACGTTCGGTATAGTTGACGAGAATATCCGAATGAACGTGATGGCATCGAGGAATAAAACTATTGCGGAGTTGAACCAATGTTTAAGTATGATTCCGGTAAGCAAAAAACAAGAGTTGAAAAGTCATATATACTCGCGGGATTCGAGCGATCGGAAACGCTCTTCAAATCGTGATGGCAATAAACAGCCCACGTGTTTTAATTGTCAAAAGCCGGGTCACATGAAAAAAAATTGTCCTGAGGCGACTCGAAAAGGGGAAAAACGGTCCGGTACCGATGTTAACAATGAGACGGCGGGTTCATCCGGTAATAAACCTAAGTGTACATTTTGCGGTGTTATTGGCCATGTGGAGTCCACGTGTTTTAAAAAGAAAAATTCTGAAGAAAGAGAAAAGAAAAAAAAGGGCATGACTAACCGACCGTTCGGAAGAGTCTAGCTTAATGGTAATGCAAGTTGAGGGCAGGGGAAAAGTATGCAGGCCAATTAAAACATGCCAAGTGGAGAAAGAGAAACGATCTTGTGTTGTTGATTTAGGGAGTGAGTGCTCGATAATAAAAGAGAGTGTTGCTCGACACTTTAATTTACCTTTAAAGAAAACAAGCAAGGTCCTTTCTGCTTTTAACCACGCCTTAGTGGTCCCTCTTGGGTACTCTAGGTTAAAATTGCTTGTCGATAATATAACTTTTAAATTAAAGGTTTTTATTGTACCCGACAATGAACTGGCAACAGAAATTTTAGTGGGTCGGGATTTACTATCCAAAGCCGGGACGGTCGCGATAACGGACGCCGAAGGGATTACATTCACTTTAAAAGATAAAATAGATGCAGCAAGTAAATTAGAGGTAAACTCGGTAGAGACAGGTTCGCTCAGAGTCATACATGAATCAGATTGTGCGATCGGGGAGGTAAGCGAAGCGGAAAAATGTCGAATACTTCAATTATTAAATAAATACAGAAAAACAATAGCGCTCGAAACGAGTTAATTAGGGCTAACCACTGCGGGGGAAATGATTATTGAACTCACATCTAACGACCCAATTTATCGCAAACCGTATCGCATGCGTATGGACGAGCGTGCGGAGGTTAAAGCAATAAATGCAGATTTGGAGAAAAATAAGGTAATTAGGCCAAGTAACTCCAACTACGCAAGCTCGGCCGTACCAGTGCGTAAAAAGGATGGAAAAATACGGTTGGCAATAGACTATAGGGGAGTAAACGGTGTAACAAAGAGGATACATTTTCCGATACCAATGATAGATGATCAAATTGATCAATTATCAGGAAAACGTGTTTTTATAGTCCTGGATTTTAAATCAGGATTTTATCAAATTCCGATGCACCCAGATTCGGTTAAATATACAGCATTCATTACACCGGATAGCCATTGGGAATTCCTCCGTATGCCTTTCGGGTTCGCGAATGGACCCGCGGTGTTTCAAAGAGTTATGAATAAGGTTTTAAAATAACACGCGTTGATATACATGGACGATATACTAATCGTGGCAATAGACATTGACGAGGCGTTCGAAAAACTAGAAACCGTATTGAAGCTCCTCTGTGAAAATAATCCCACACTAAATCTCGAGAAATGTAAATTTTTTGAGAAGAAAATCGACTATTTAGGAAGAGAAATTTCGAGTGATGGTGTAAGACCGGGGAATTTTAAGGTTCAAGCGGTTTTAAACGCAACGGATCTGAGAGACGTTAAACAAGTTCGTCAGTTTCTAGGGTTGGCAGGGTATTTTCGTAAATTTATCCATAATTTCGCGCAAATGGTTAGACCATTAACGAACCTATTAAGGAAAAGTGCTGTATGGACCTGGGGAAAAGAAGAATCCCAAGCAGTTAGTGTCATAAAAGAACATTTATCGACCCGGTCTATTTTGGCTATTTATGACCCAACTCTTGAGACCGAGGTTCATACAGATGCAAGTGTTATAGGTATCGGAGCGATGTTGATTCAAAAACACGGTAAAGAGAAACGAGTCGTTGCGTATTATAGCCGTAAAACAACATCGGTGGAACAAAGGTACCATTCTTATGACCTGGAGACACTCGGCGTGGTCGTTGGACTGAAGGTCTTTCGGGTATACCTGCTCGGAATTAAGTTTATTGTAGTGACGGACTGCAGTGCTGTCCGAGCTACAATGAATAAAAAGGATATACAACCGCGCGTGGCTCGATGGTGGGTATACCTGCAAGACTACAATTTCGAAATTGTTTACCGTCCAGGGACTCAAGTGTCTCACGTCGATTATCTCTCGCGTAATCCAATCGAGTGTTATTCGGTAAATATAACGGAGGTAGAATGGTACTTTGACAAATATGACCTAAAGGGCGGAGTGGTATTTCGACGAACAGAGGAAGGAAACAGGTGGCTGGTTCCAAAATTTGCTCGTTTTAATATTGTAAAATTGTCTCACGACTACCAGGGCCATTTCGCGTTAGAAAAAACCTTGGAGAAGGTGCCTTTAAATTATTGGTTCAAGGGCATGAGAAAGTTTGTTAATAAATATGTTAGTTCTTGTCTCAATTGTCTTTATTACAAATCAACTTCGGGAAGAAAACCGGGGATGTTGCATCCTATTGAGAAGGTGGCTATGCCCTTTCATACATTGCACCTTGATCATGTTGGGCTCTTTATAAAAAGTAGGCACAAAAATACACAGTTGATTTCAATTATTGACGGTTTTACGAAGTTTTGTATTCTCGAACCTACTCGTAATACTTCGGTGAGGGGAGTGTTGAAAGCATTATGTCAGATCGTCGCAATATTCGGCGTGCCAGCTCGAGTCATAACTGACAGAGGTACAGCGTTTACGTCTAATCGGTTCAAGGAGTTTTGCACAGAGTATGGGATAAAGCACATACTGAATGCAGTGGCAACACTAAGGGCAAATGGTCAGTGCGAGAGACTGAACCGTACAGTCCTCAGCTCACCAGCTACTACCTGCGCCGGTGAACCAGAGGATAGATGGGACGAAAAGGTAAAGGTTGTTCAGAGCGCAATCAATTCCGCGGTTAACAGAACAACACGAATGTGCCCGACTCAACTCTTATTCGGGTACATACCTAGAAGTCCAGCGGATGCTAGGTTGCTGTCTGAAATTCAGGATAATCTGGACCAACTCAACTTAGCTGAGTTAAGAAGGGCGGCGAAAAACACTATTGAGGCAGAACAATGCTCTCAAAAGCGTAATTACGATGCTCGTCGATTCAAGGCTCCAATATATGCGGTAGGCGATGTGGTCATGGTTAGTTCTAACTCTCCTGCTACTGGGGAGAGTAAGAAACTGGTGGCGAAGGCTAAAGGACTATTCAAAGTGACCGCTGTGTTACCTAATGACAGGTACGAGGTTCAGGACCTGCGGGATACCAAGGGAGCGAGGAATCGTAAAACTGTGGTAGCAGTGGACGGTGTCAGGAAGTGGGTCACGTTCGATGCCACTGAGTAACCTGGGTGAGTTGAGTCAGGATTCAAGCTGGCCAATTTAGGGCCAAGTCTTGAGATCTCTAGTAAAGGAAATGGTCACCGATACGTTATGGGATCTCCAGGCGGAGGTCGGGACCAAGTTGCCAAGTCGGAGGATCTCTTGCCCCAGAAAATGGTCAGTCTGGCGCAATAGAGGAGACCTCGGGCGGAGGCAGGGACCAGGCCAAGTCAACAGGTCTGGGCGAAGGAAGTAGTCAACCTTTGCGTGGAAAAGACCTTAGGCGGAGGCCAGGACTGAATTAAAATGTTGGTTAAAATAGAATTGAAAGGGGTCGTATGACAAGAGCGGATGATTTTAGAATTGATCAATCGGGAATCTCCCCGCTGATCATTCGAACCCTGATCAATTACATACTAAGTAAATTGATGCTTTAATATATGTATATGTTTTTACAGGAGATTGTTCGTCGAGGACGCCTCAATTGCAGTATGGCCGAATGTGGGAGTTATTTTAAAATTTGATGTTCTCGGACAACATTTGCGCATCAGACTATTTCTTAAGGGGTTGTGCGCACGATGCGGCCTACCAGGGCCTCCTAGGGTTGTTGGGGCCCGTGCGGTCGAAGGGAAGCGGCACTGTTGTTGAGACCCCTTGCTAAGCGGGTTGTTCTATCATCTATCGATCGGGAGTTTTGTAACAGTTAACAATAAATTGTGAAAAATATAACTAAATTAAAATAACATTAGTTTTTTATTTATTCCTTCTACATTCATAATTCTGCTTATTAAAATTGTTATAAAATTAGTTACTTGAACGTTTTTTATTTTCATTATTATCAATATAATATTGTAATTACAAAAATTTAAAATTGTGTATCTAATATGGCGAAAAAGAAATTATTATAAAACAAAACAGATATACTCGCTTAAAATATTTTAACGTTAATAATAATAATCATAGAGTTAATCATTTTATTTCAAATATTTTTTAATAAATGTTATTTTAGTACATTATGCACCAAGGATCGTAAGTTCATCTTTATGAACGAGCGTGACGTTCGCAGAACGAGTCGGGCTCGCGCGAAGCGCGAGCCCGCGAGTTCTGTGATCACGCGAGTGTCATGAAGATGAATACGATCAAAAAAACCAACTTAAAAGAATAATATTAATAATGTTTTTTGACATTTCAAAGAACCGCATTTAATAATACCCCAAGCCACCGCACGCATCGGGGGGCGAAGCCCCCCGAAACCTAGTCATGTGCTTCGACATATTAATAAAAATAATATCATTAAAGAACAAAAACAGAATTTTTCACACGAGCGATCGCGAATCTTAGGTTAGGTTTTGACAGTAGAGTTGGTTGCCAGGGACCCTCACCAAGCGCGAATGCGCATGCGCATACATTTGGTGAGAGTCTCTGGGAACTGTGCGTCTGACAGCATCTAGTTACATTATATCCAACTTCTGTACAGAAATAGTAACATTATAACCCGGTTATTGGGTCTATAATGTAACTAGGGTCTATAATGTAACTAACACGAAATAAAGTGTACTCCCCTCCAGCATTATTCGCACCGGGCTATAATCAGTAACTTACAACCTGCAAAACAGGTGGCGTAAAGTGCGTATTACAGTGCTGTGTTGCATAAAAATATTTTCTTTAAACATATTGTAGTGATTTCTAAAGTTAAAAATATATTTTAAATAGAAAGCAAATTTTTTTTTTGTGTTTATTAGACGGCGCCGGATTGTCGCCAATATGTTTATAGAGATATCGCTTAACCTAAGCATTCTCAGTGGACAAAAGTGGTGTGATTTGATTTCGGAGAATGCACGTGGAACTTTTGAACACTGTATGCAAGAGTGAAATAAGAATATGAAAATTAAAAAAAGATAACACGACTAGAGACTCATGGCCTGCGATGCAAAGAGACCATGAGTCAGTCGATGTTTCGGTAACCTAGAGTAAAGATCTTTTTTATGATTGATTAAACTTATAGAATTCCTTTGTTCTTATGTCATATGTATAATTCCTTTTTCCAGTTTTACATAATAAACTTAAAC